ATAACCTGGTCGATGTTGGCATTATGAAATTAGTCGAGGTGGAGAAGAGCACGAGCCACGATATGGAGGAGCAATACGATGGTTTGAGAAGCATGGTGCGGCACGTGCACGAGAAGATTGAGGAAAACACAGAGCAACTGATTGCGGATTCGAGAAACAATGCGCGGGTAAGCTATTAGAAATTATTTAAAAGTCCCACCGCCAGCCACTCGAACTGTTCCCACTATGGCTTGGCACAGTTTTTCGGCCCTATTTTTATCAAGCCATCTAAAAGAGCGTGGCCGAATTAGTCGGGTTGCATCGTTTTGAAAACTTAAAACGTCTTTTTTTGTGGTTTAATTAGGCAGTAAAGTTCCCGACCACGAAAAGCTATCTCGAAACTGCTAGACCAAACTTGCTGAAAAGTCGTGACATTACTTAATTCTAGATCGGGATAATTTCTCCACTTGATTGCAAAGCCCAACATGACTGTAACATGGTTATTTTGCGCAGTAAAAACTGTTTTTCGGCATTTTCGAATTTTGGAACACCTCAGCGCAATTGTAAAACTGCATAGATGCGCCAAAGAATCCTTCGTCGAATGATGTATTATTTGGTTGCGCTGCGGTGCCCTAGTTTGCTATAATGCGATTTGTGCGCTGAAAATGCACCAAAAACGCCCCTAGAATAAAAAACTGTTAGTTTTGAAATCGAATACATCAAATTGCATCTAGTGGCCTTTACAAAAATCCTGGCGTGCTTGCTTTAAACACGCGTGCTAATATTCCAAAGTGTTTCACAAAAAGCTGGCTTAAATGTTTTATTTCACCATTCCTCCAATTAAACTATTCTTTAGACAATCAGCCACCAATGGTCGTACGCCGATGGGGTGGTGCTTAGCGAGGCGCTGCGGCAAAGAGCGGCTGACTTTGAAAAGAAATTCGAGGCCTATTTTGGTCATGCCCGGATTTATAATGAAGCCGTGGTGCGTTTGGCAGAAGAGGGCGTGCGGATCACGGCGGGTTTGCAGGATATGCCCGAACCACCCTCCTTGCCCCTCCCGTTTCGATAGCCAGAATATAATCCTGATGATTATTGTAAGGTTCAGCAGAGCCCCGCTTATCGATTTCCACCCTTTCACGAAATATGGAATTGCTCTGCCGATTTGTATACCGTATCTCAACGACACCTTTACCTGTTCCATAAGCAATAATTATTTCGAAAGAAACCCGCATGTCGATAAATTTTCAAATCACTGTCCTCAAAAATAAACACTTCCGGCCCTTAAAACAAACAAAACTTGATATAGGCGCGATACCTATCATAAAAAACTGTACGGAGCGGTCAATATGTTGAATACGTTTTGATGTTGATAGAAGAGAGGCGACAAGGTTAATTGCTGCAGGACCTTGTCGCAATGTAACCTCAAAACTTCATCTGCTCCCTGTTAAACTCGTGCTCGGTTTGGGCGCTGTCGGGAGCAACGTTTCGCTGACGAGATGAAAAGACCTCTCTGCTCCCTCAGCCTAATCCGCATTCCCTCGCCGATCGCAACCAGCGCAATGGTAAAAAATCCGCCTGGTTCCAGAAACTACGCCGCTGTACTGTTTAGTTCTTACAACTGGAAAGCATGTTGCTGAAAGTTAACGCTCTTGAACACTACCTATTTCTAAAAGCCACATGTCTTTGGCGATTCTATGAGCTTACCGAATTCAATAGAAACCGAATTTTTTACATGCATTGTCTTCCCATAAATTGGCTGACTCTTTAACCAGAAGGTTTTCGCCGTGTTGTTCATTGCCTTTGCATAGCTCCTGGTAAAGTTTTTTAGAAATGGACGGAAATTTCCACGTCGGGCAAATAGTTATTGACGAGCTAAGACCCTTGATAAAAGAAAATAATATCTTGTGTCGCAGACAATAAACTGTAGTACATACGCTTAATTGTGCCTGCACATATGCTTAATGGTGCCTGCGGCACCATTATCTGCCCCGCCTCTCAAGCGGGTCATCCCCTCGATTCCCTAAATCAGTCAGTCGATCCCCAGACCCTGACCGCTTCCCTGTCCCCCCTTAAGCTCACAAGGAGTGTCTTTTGGTGTCATCGGCAAAATGATTTGAAACCCAGCTCATTCGCTAGAGAATTGAATTCTGAACAAGACTGTGTTGTTGATTTTTGCGGAATGGCTGTCCCTGATTTTATAGAATTAAAAAACCAGGCGCGAAACCTTAACAACTCGCTCCCAAAGCTCCAATGTATGGGCGTCGCCGGCAGTTTTTTAATTTTATAAAATCAGGGACTGCCGTTCCGCAAAAAATGAACAACACAGTCTTGTTCACAATTCAATTTTCTATCGAATGAGCTGGGTCTCGAATCATTTTGCCGATGACACCAAAAGGACACTCCTTGTCAGCTAACTCGAAGTCCCACGGGAGACCGGAGGCCCTCTCGGGCCGACGGGATTCCGTCCCCTTTTGATGCTTTATAAATTCTAGGAATCATAATTGTTAGGGTCTGTATCCGCGCCGGCCGACTTCCTTTCTCGGCCTCTCTTTCCCGTCCCCAGTTGTTATATGACAGTTTAAGTTACTCTAATAAACCGTCTTAACAAGTCCGTGGGTAACAAATACACTATGACAGAGACGTTATACTACATAATAAACAAGAGACGGTTTTGGGCGTCGCCGGCGTTTTAGTTTGCACCAGTGATGGGGTTATTCAAATCAAATCTGGAGTCAAATCTGAGAGTTCAAATCTGAATATTTGAAGGCAAAAATTTCAATTTCAATCGGCGGATTTGATTTGAAGTCCCGTGGACGAGTTCAAATCACCCGAGGATTTGATTGCTTCCGGTCCTTAATCAAATCTTATGGAGATGCCGGCATTCCAGCACCACTGGCAGATGTACTGGTGGAACAACGAAGTTTCAGATTTCCATGGTTGCCTTCTAATGATGGTTGGTATCCAGCATGTGAACACTGTGTGGTACCTTCTAAACCATTTCCCAATCTAAGACCCAATCTGTGGTTCTTACTGGGCCCTCAAGCTCAGAAAGATCCCAGATCAGATCAGTTTGATTTGGGGCTGCCAGCCCTATTCGATCAAACATGACTGCAGACCCATGACAGTCTGAAAATGGATTAAAGTTTGAACAAGGTTTAGAAAAAAACTCACTTAACATGTTTTCAACCTATTCTAACAATCATTGTGTGGTGTATTGGACACCCAGGCCTAGGCATTTTGTGGAACTCCCATGTGTCCTGGAAGCTTTCCCATGCAGTACATGAAGAACCAACTCTCGCTGAAAGACATTTAGTACTCTTTAAAAAACCAATTTGGTTAACAACATTGAGCACCAGGAACTGATTATTATATCAGTGTTCATTTCTAATACATTTAATGTGTTTTATCACTTTACCCCCTAATATCCTCATAAGTTTGTAGGTGAGGCAGCCTATGGGTTTGTTACACACCTGGGCGCCCATATTTTTTTTTTTTTGACTGTGAATCACGTATCACCGTTTGCCTTCGAATGGATCTTTGGCGGGATTTTTCTCGACTCCCGCAGTGCTGACATTGTTTGTAAACGTAGGCCTTTGGGACTTTTCCCCAGTTCGGTGTTGGTAGCGGCATCAGGTCCAGTCTGGTTCGTTAATGATCGGACTGGATATTATGTTGTATCTGATTCGGGGCTTTGGTATGAGACTTCGGGCGCTGGGCTGGTGGATACCGAGTGCAACAGGACCTCAGCGCTTGTTCATCCAGATTTCTGCAAAAAATCCATTGCTTTCCATATTTCTCGACCAGAATGTTCTAGATATGCTGCTTGAGTGCTTCAACTGCCCAGAATCAGACTGCGCACGGCCATTTGAGAAGAAAATCCCGCAGGGCGGTTGGCAGGACTACTTGCAATGCCAATGCGGTCACACAGTGCAGGGGTTACGGTAATTATTGCTGAACGGGGGCGGCAGCTGAGAAGTAGTTTTCTCAATTTCAATTACCACCCGTTCTTCAACATGAAAAAAACAAATTTAGGTTGGATCACCTGAACCCACTTCTCGAACAACCCAACGTACAGCGGATACGGTATGGTTGGGTTGCACTCGGTCCTCTGAAGGAGCTCACTTGTGATGACTGTCTGGCCCCTCTAGACTGTACCCCGCAGATTAATAAATGCTGTCGTCGACGACTTCTTTGCAAAAAATGCGTTGACCGCATTAGATGCCCGGTAGGTGGACAGATTGTGATTTGCATCTGACAGAAATACAATGTAATGGCTGCATGATTTTCAGAACCCGGGTATTTTTGGCAATTGCCGGGATCCCGGCATGGCGGGAGGGCTAGTACTCCAAAACTACAAGGAATGGGAACAGAAAGTCCGCGAGACTATTGAAAAACTTGCCGCCTTCTTGGAGCCGGGACTTAAGACTTAAAAACCCAGCTGCTCGCGATGCCAGAAGCGGTTAGGGCCAACGAAGAACCGGTTGGTTGTGGCGTGCTCAAGCGTCTACTGCCCGGATTGTTACTACGAGACCGATCTACAGAATGAGTGCCATCTTTGCGAGCTTCCCTTCTCAGTGCATGTCTATCTGAGCCAAGCACTTTCCGACCAAAACAACAGAAAAGGAAAAAGCCCTCCGCTCAAACAGGAAACCAAGAATGAAGAATTACCGGAGAATTTATGTGAAGAAATCACAGAAAAAAGCATTCCTGAGACAGAAGATGAAGTCGAGCTATCGGAGTCGGAAAAGCTTTCCATAGAGTCCACGGAAGATTTGCTGACACCTTGTCGAGGTTGTCTCAAGAAATCACTGTTATCGGAAATGTTTTCTTGCGTCAATTGCAATAATGCAATCCTTTGTGGCACATGTTCGGTTCGTCAGCATCGAACTCACGAGTTGGTAGACGTGGGGTCGGAGAAGTTGAAGAAGCTTGAGCAGCAAACCATGGAAGCATTGGAGCAGCAGTATGATGGACTGAAGGGCATGGTTATACACATCCACGAGAAAATTGCGGAAAACATGAAGCTCTTGGCCGAGGAGGCGGTCAAGAATTCGAAGGTTCGTCGAGGTTTCATGTCAATAGGGGCAGACGTATGTAAAAATATGATTCTGTTTCGTTAGCGGGGTGAAGCATAATGTAGTAAATTTTTCAATATTTCTTATTTTGGGTTTCATGTCGTTAGGGAGTGTCGTCAGACCTAAGTAAAACAAACACGTTCTGGTTCGTTAGCGGGGGGCGTTTCTCTGAAGGGGGTGGGTTTAATGACGTAGATTTTTCACAATTTCATTACTGTTCGGAGACTGTATTATTGCCACCTCGTATAGCATCAAAAATATGTTAAGGATTTTAACCCTCGCTCAAACACACAGTAATTTAAGGAGGGTATAATAAAGGCAAAAAACAGCCTTGCAAATAGGGTTGGGACGCCATTTTTCGGGAATTTCGCTGCTTTTTGCCATTCTGTGAATGCTCTTTGAACTAAGAGCATCACAAAGAATATTAAATTTTTTATATACAACAAGTAATGCAATGTAAGATAAGAGAAGCTATTAACAGAAAATGTCCCCCCCCCCGATAACGAACAAGAGCCAAAAATATATAGGGTTTCCACAAATTTTATGGATTCAAGAAAGAGATTTTTTGATCTTAGAAAAAATAAGGGTTGACCTAAAAGTTTAGAGTAAATTTAGAAAAAAAAGTCGTTGTTAGGAAAATCAGAATAAATACTTATTTTAGATGATTTCGGAGCAAAACGTCTATGCCGATGGTCTCTCGATCAGCGACACTTTGAGAGAAAAAGCGGACGCTTTCGAGAGACACTTTGAGGTAAGAGCGCCTTGGCTCTAGTAGTATGAGAGGTATTCGAGAGCTCTAAAGATATCTCAAAAAGCCCTAATTCCAGGAATATCTGCCTCTCGCCAGAATCTACAACGAAAAGTTGACCGACCTCGCCGATGAAAATCAAGCGCTGATCCGCCAATTCAAAAAGGGTCTTGCCATTGCTGAGAGCCCGGAAAAGAACGAACAGGCGGAAGCGTCTACCCGGTCTGATGGGGATCCGCACGACACCTCAAGACCAAGAACAGCCCAAAGAATTCTAAAAAAACGTAAATGACGCCTTCCCTCATCAAATTGTGTAACCTGGCCTTTTCCAGCTAAATAAACGAATTTTAAGAACTTTTGCGTACCGAAAGACATTTCAAACAAGCAATTTTTAGCCTGTGCCTAAAATTCGTTGACGTTGACTTTCTGCGCAAGTCCGCTAGTGTAGGCAAACACATTCATCGTTAATGTTTGGTAAATGGCAGGTCATGGTGCCGTCTGCGTCGCGGCTCCCGCCAACTTAATTTCGATCAGGGCAGATGCCAAAGAATTTGAAAAATTCCTGCCTTACTTATCTTTGGTATTCCTTACCTATCTATTAAATACTGATTTCTTTTAACATTGGGCATCGCAAAAGTCTTGATCGCCAATTATGGCTTTCATAAATTTAAATAATTTAATAAGTAAATTTAATATGTAAATTGACGTCTTACGTTTGTTTTCGATTTTTCGAAAACGTCTCCGTGTGCGCGTGGCATTTTAACAATGTTGCTTTAATTTCCCATCACATTTCGCCTATTTCCGCCATTTTAAGGCGATGTAAAGAAGGGAATTGATGGTTTGTGGTCAGGCGCCCCCAAAAAAAGTTTTGCACATCTCGCGCCATCATATAAATTGAGCGAAAAATAGCTCCGCAAGCCATAATTTTTCATAAAGACAATAGTTAGATTAAGTATGCACGGGGTTTTAGGATACTTATGGTTTGCATATACAGGGTGTCCAAAAAATCGACCCCCCTCGGGGGTAAAAAATTCGATCAAACGAAAAACGCTTTTTTCTCGCCTTTTCGAGGGCTTTCGAATGGTGTAAAAATTCCCCCGATCAGAGCTTACTCCGGACCGCTAGAGGGGTCGATTTTTTGGAACACCAGGTAAATTCTTTGATTTCAGGAAATGCTGCTCGGGTGCTTCAACTGCCCAAAATGTTCACTTCCATACGACCGAACTGGCCTTCCGCGTGCGCCTGTCTACCCTGCGTTCACTCCGCCGGATATATTGTGTGGTGTGTGTGCGCCGCTTGCTCAGCCAGCCCAACTGGTCCCTCTACTCTTCGAACAACCTAACCTGAAACAAACCCCGAAGGGCTGGGTGGCTGTGGGCCCATTGGACCCATTTCTTTGCGAATGTGGCAAGCCGTGGCCCAAACCCCACGCGTCCTATTGCTGTCGCCGGATCGGATGCGAGCAGTGTTGTGCTGCGGTGGACGGGAAATGTTCGGCAAGTTTTTTAACGATATTTTTTCCCTCCGCTAGCAAGAGAACCTCTCAAAGCCTAGGTGGGATTGTAAAACGAGCACTGTCACGTCTTTTGCAAAATTTTTCGTTGATTCCGAATCTGTTTTCAAAAACTGCAAACTAGTTCGGATTCAAAAGTTACAACGTTATTAGTCCACTTTAAGCAAAAACCATCAGACTCGATTTACTTAATATATTCCTGATTGATTTTCTGAAAAAGAATATTCCCTCGCATTCAGAATTTCTCTAGCGAAGAAGTTCCTCAACTCAAAGTTGTCAATAATCTAAAAATTGGTAGCGCCTGCCATTTTTGCATGCGACTTGAAGAAAAACTGTGTATTTCGTTCGGTCTAGAAGCACCCATGTTTTAATCAACCTTACCATTCGAACCAGAAAAAATTCTTTTTCAGATTGTGAGCTCGATCAAAAGGCTATTTGTGATAAATCAGAACAGTAAAGCAGTGACCACTTGGGCAGGGCCAAAAACCGCACTTAAATGCCTTATAACTTTTGAATCCGAGTAATTTTCCAATTTTGAAAGCAAGGTTCGAAATCAGCGAAAAATTCTGCACAAGATAGGCTCTGCCCCATATCGAAATCCCACCAAGACTTTAGAAGGAAATCCCCCTTGTAAGCCGCCTTAAGAACTCCAAGGGACGCGTTTAAATATCAGGACTCACGGATATCAGTGGTCTCCATAGCTTCCCGGCACCTCGATCAAACAATTTTTCAGTTCTGCAACGACGATTACCGCGGAGCCATAACCGATGGTTCTTTCACCTTGACGATGTTGCTCATCACTTATCGTCGCTATGTCGACCTGTACAATGAGGCCGCCGAAAATGTCAAGAAGAGCCTGAGAGGCGAGCTCATCCAGAAGTCGTCATGCGGCAGATGCAAAAAGCGAATCGGGCAGGTCGAGGATCCCTTGGTGATATCGTGTACCAGCATCCTCTGCTCGGATTGCTACTACACAACGGACACACAAACCTTGTGCCATGTTTGCCATGAAACACCGGATTCGCATCTGATGCCCGGACGAGCACTTTTGGAAGGCTGGAAATCCGGGAAAGCTGTTATCCCTAAATCAGGGTGGTCAATCGATAAAATCGACGCGAATGCCGGCTCCGACGGAGTAGAAACATTCGAAATTCCGCGACTAAAAGAACGTTTCGAAGATGCCGACGATCGAATGGTTCGCTGCCATGGATGCCGCGAAACATGCTTGGCCTCGCAAATGTTTTCCTGTGTTAGCTGCGACAATTCGATTCATTGTGGCACTTGTTCAATGCGTGAGCACCGGGCTCATCAGGTGGTGGACATCGGCCTAGAGAAGTTGAAGAAACTCGAGGAGCAAACGGCGGGTGCTGTCGAGCAGCAGTATGATGGAGTGAAGGGCATGGTTCGGCTCATCCACGAGCAAATTGACGGGAATGTGAAGCGGCTGGCTAAGGAGGCGATCGATAATTCGAAGGTTGGTTTTGGAGCTTTTTCGAAATTGTGTCGGTGCGGAACAAAATGTGTGTTTTTTTCAGGTGATTTCAACGCAAAAGGTCTACGCAAATGGTGTCACGATCAGTGATGCTCTGCGCAAGAACGCTGACGATTTCGAGAAGCATTTCGAGGTATGATTCTTGGGTTCTGGGCTGTTAGCGGGGGCACCAAATTTTTTCCTATGATTCTCTACGGCCGTATGAGAAAATATAGGCCATTTTTACAACATTTTTATATTAGGGTTTAGATCTAAAAACAACCTAAAACATAAAAATTCGCGAAGATTTTTGACTTTTTGTTGGAAAAGGTGTGAAAAATGACCAAAGAAGGCAAATTTTGGAATTTTTAAAAGCTTTAAAACAATTTTTATAACGTTCTAGCGATCAAAAACTACTAAAACACTATAAAAATACATAATATAGCATCAATAGGAGAGAAAACAGAAAGTGGTTCCGCCGCTAAACCCCTCCCCCCGCTAACCGTCCGGAACCATCACTTTTATCCGATGTTGTTAGTCGTTTTTTTTCAGAGTGAAAATCTCGAATGTCTCTAAAATATAAGCAATTTAATGATGGATTCATGATCGTAAATTGCAGGACTATCTGCCCTGTGCTCGAATCTACAATGAAAAGCTGATGGAGCTGGCCGATGAGAATCAGGCGTTGATGTGCCAGTTTAAAGCAGATCTCTCCATTTCCACAATTTCGGAGAATAGCGACACAGAAGCTGATCAGGGGGATGAAGCTTCGACGGGGCCTGTGAAAGACGACTCGTGTTCCTAAACCCGTTCCTTTTTGATTTTTTTGCTGCAGTTTCTACCTGCTTACGAAATTATGATTCTTTATATAAACTTCTCAGTCAAGCCCAATTAATTAACTTTCCGGGTTTATATGTTTTTTTTCCTGTTACAAAAATTCTCTCGAAAATGGAAATCCGGAATAAATATTGTTTTATTGTATAAAAAAAGCACAACGTCACAACCACTTCACAATACTGATATCACATTTTTCTTTAACTGTTCACGATATTTTGCTAGTAAATTTGAATAAAGCAAAAAAAGAGAGAAATGAAACCTGAGGATACATAGACGAACACAACCACACAAGAATCTCAAAAGTCTGGGAACTTATTATGCAAAACATTTGGGCTTTGGCAGTGAGGCAAAATTTGGGATAGTTTTAGTGACCGTAATTCAAGAAAAAAAGATTGGTATCGGTTTTTGGACGATTTTTGGGACAAGTAATTCGGGTCTACTGTGTTTTCCAGATGGAAAGGCCGATATAAGCGACCCAGAGGAGGATGAAGAAGACGCCGCATGCGATTTTTGGACCTGGTGGCCCGCCGAGTTCTCCTTTTCCGAAAACGGCCAGCATTCTGCGGGCGACGAGGACGATGAGGAAGATGATGGAGAAGACTGTGAAAACCGCAACGCTAAAAATTGGACTTGGTTTTTGCATTTTTCGTAATGAATAGAGAAAAAGCGAGGAACTGATAGAGAGCGAGAGAAAGTCAGAAAGGGAGAGAGAGAGAGAGAGAGAGAGAGAGAGAGAGAAAGGGAGGGAGGGAGAGAGAGTTTTCTAAATTCTACCCACCTAAAGCCTAGGTCCCCAGCCTTCACGACGAAAGGTTGGCCCTTGTCGCACCAGTAGAAGGCGGCGACTAACCACGGCAGACCCAGGCCAAGGAAGACGTTCACAGAGTTCGAGCCGGTCACGTTTCCGACTGCGTTGTCAGCGGAATCATCCTAGAATTGACTATGCTAGTTATATAAAACATATCTGCGCAATAGTTCATTAAAAAAGCTTGGTTACTAACGTTTTCAGCAGCGATTTTGCTCGCAAAAGTATCCGGCAATGACGTTCCAAGGGCAACTAATGTGATGGCGGTGATGGCGTCCGGCATTCCGACCATACAACCGAAGATTGAAGCAATGTCGCCTGAATAGCGATTATAAGCTTACGCCGGAAATTCAGAAGCTTGAGAATATCATGCTGCCGATTTCTAACCTACCTACGACGGCCGTCACCAATCCGATGGCTATTAATGCGACAACGAAACACAACCAGCCGCCCATCATCATTGGCGGCGGGACGAAGGCGAAGGCGAACTAAAGACGACTTGAAATTCTATTGAGCCATTGATTTAAACATTTTTAGGTTACAAAAATCTTATTATAATAGTGAATAAAAATACCAGTATTCAAAATGGCAGCTTGACACGGTAAATTAATCATATTGTAATAAACCTACCTTCCACGGGAAAGCCAATCCATGCAATACGCAATCGAGTACAGTAGCGTTGGCCACATCTCCAGAATTCACCGAAGCGGCGTTGATGATTTGCTCGCGCCAGGTGGCCTGAAGGATTATGCTATTTAATAGTTTTTGGCTAAAACAAAACTTCTAAAAGGTTTAAATTTACCCTACCTGTCCAGGCGTCATCCGCTTCAAATAGTAGCCGACCAATTTTCTGGTATTTGTAATGTTTTTCAAGACATTGTCGTCCGAAATGATAGTCACGATCGTGCGTTTTTTGTTGCCGATTGTAGTTTCTAAACCAGAACGTGACGTTCTAGATTTTTTAGCTAAATGGAAGCGATTTTAAGAAAAACATACCCCGATCCTCAGTTCCTAGCAGCTCGACCGAAAACGTCTCATCTTTCTCGTCGTCCTTATCGTCAACGACTTCAACATCGATGTATTTTTCGTACTCTTGGCCCCTGAAAGTCGCATAAAAAGTGAGGTATCCTATGCAAACGTACTTGAAATACAACAGCGCATTCTTATAGGGAACGTAGTCTTCATTAGCATTCGCCGAAATGTCTTCAGTTTCGAAACGAACGCCGACATCATGGGGAGTTTTAGTCTTGCCCCTCTTTGTGATGAAGACCCGCACCCAGCCACAGTTTTCCTTGCAAACCTAAAAGGTGGATAATGGATGAAAATGGATAGTATCTAAGAGATACCTTAAATAATATAATCTGAAACTTACATAGTTTCCCTTGACAAATTCAACGTTCGGCGTTCCACTAAAGGATGTGGTATCCTCGGGACATTTGACGTGAGCGATATTGCATTCACCAAGTTTCGTTTTGCCGCCCTCGTCCTGGTCCTAAAACTATCTTTGTTTCCGTGGTTCAGTCGTTTCAAGCAATTTTTCAAAACACGGACACAGCAGTTGCCTTCAAACCCGCAAGAACCGCCGAGAAAACTACAAAAACTACAAGCTAAAATAGGCAATGCCAACCAAACTATACAACAACTATCAAACCGTGAAATTGAACCGGAAGACTCTAAAAAGATCAGAATCTCCTATTTTAGTCGCTTTAACGCACCACAATTTTCAGGTGGACGTAGAAGACGGTGTTTGGTCTCCAATCCGCTCCATCGACCAAATCGATGACGATGTCTTTTTGCATTTCCTGCGGGGCAAAGCGCAGGTTTTCCATCTGAAAGGTATCATGATTAGATAATAGTAAACTTCCGTTTTGAATATAGCATACCTATAACCGTAATGCCAATACGACGAATCCAAAAAGGCTCACCTTTGGTAAGTAGTGCAAATCCTTCTTGCCAATACCATCCACGGTACTGTAGTTCAGCGTCAGGGCCGTATCACTGTTGCCTCGCCGGATTACCTAAAAATATATTATTTTTCTAAATGTATCGCTATTTTTTAATAAGAGGATCGTGCTCCTAAAAAATGAACCTACCGACAGCTTGACCTTCTTATCTTGAGGATAGACAGCGTAGACACGTGCCGTGAACTCGATGCGCGGCTTCAATTCTGAAACTGAGGATTGAATGGTATTAAAAACGTCAGCTCACGACAATGATGCCCCACCGACACTGGCGGCCGAACTCACTTTGAGACGTATGATCCGGGCTGACCGCTTCTTTCTCCTCCAATTCCTGGACCTCCTTCTCCTCGTCGGTCTTCTTCCAGGAAGACGTCAATTGACGAATGGCGCGGATACGGTAGTAGAGACGGTCGCGGACCTGAAAAACGGTTAAAAGTGAATATCTGAATGACGACGACACCCATTTGCTACAGAATCCAAATTGAACCATTCAACCAACCTTATTCTGGTTTAGCCGGTACGCCAGAATCTTGGCCTGGTCATCGGCTTCAAGCCCTGGGTAGACTCGAGCGACATCTCGGGCCATTTTCCGGACGTCACCCTCTTCTGGAGCCGGAAGAGCGTCGAGGACTGACTGAAAACCGAGCTGAGTCCGAGTATAAGGTAATTTACCTCTCCATCAACATAACTGAGACGTCGAGCAACATTCCGAATCTCGACGTCAAGATTCTTCGACGGTTTCCTTAGAGGCTCGATCCTAAAATTCATCTTCGTCCCGATACCCTTAAAAATCTACCTCAATATCCTGTAATTCTGTCTCCAGATTTGCCTTCTTATTCTTATTCCAAATCTCGACGTCAACACAGTAAGAAGCTATGACGAGGATGCCAAAGAACAATAGCGTCAGGATGGCTTCCCAGAGCTCTACGACGTCAGGAGAGATCCATGCCAGAACCTAGAGTATATGACGGATTATCCAAAAGAGCTACTATGACTTACAATGAGAAGCCAAATATAGGCAAAGGTTCCGAAGAAGGCCGTCACGCAGAACACTTTGAAGAGTGCAATTCGTTTGGTTTTCTTGCCGACGGTGAGGACACAGATTGCGGAGATGCAGAACAGGTTGAAGGCGGCAGAGCCTGAATTCGGGGGTTTTCAGAATTTTAATGTTTCGATCCAATTTTAAAGCAATTTTTGGGGCTGTAAAATTACTGTAACTTACCAACAATCGTCCCGGGACCCAAGTCACCCGAATGGAAGTTATTGCCAACAATTTCGATGATGGAGAGCAGGATTTCAGGTGCGGAACTTCCAAGGGCCTAGAAAAGCCAAGCAGCTTACAAAGGTATCGGTGGAACTACCATTAATGTGAGGTTTGCCACCGTTGGATTCCAGACCCGAACCTCTTCATATTCTCCGGTTGATCGGGCTCGTTTCCAGCAGCCACGAGCTTACCGGATTCTTGTTTGATCTTGATTTTTCTGAAATTTGACAATACGTTTTGAAGCCGGTTAAGTTCGAGCTAGGGTTTTCACGTTATTACATTTTTATAGTTTGAAATTGAGACTTAGATGTTAAGGTATGTGAAAACTGCAACTCACTTAGTTTTCGAAGTAATCTTCTCGATGGCGCACATAAAAATGTCGGCCGCGATGGCGATACCGAGAAAACAGTACAACAACCCGGCCAGGTAGATGAACGCATTTCGGTTCGAGGTGGCCAGGGCCGGGGATTAGGATTCCGTCACGGCATTGGTGCGAGACGTTGACCATTCCCCGAATGGACACCTATTACCTAAAAAAATACCACTATTACCTTAGTAAAGCTGGTTAAACAAAACCACAGATCAAAAGGTAAAAAAACCTGCCCGAAAAAATTATTAAAAATTACATTTGTGGCGAACTAGCAGAGTTTATTTGAGAAAGCGAGCTTTCCCAATTATCGGGAAATCACGATACAATCAAAATCGCAATTTAAAACATGTTCGCTGGAATTTAAGGTGGTTTTTGAGACATTGAGGGCCAGCAATCCACAGGAATTTTCGAACCTGACCCACCATCCGGCAAAATCCCAAAAAACAGTAACGACAAATTTGCGCAGGCGCCGCAAAACACTCAAAACCCGTTTTAGGCCCCCCATAGAAAAAAAAACGTTTTAGGATGGTTCTCGTGGAGGTCGAATGAGTCAGGATGGAAAAATGGATGGACCGCGGGAAAAAGTGGAGGCAATTTCGGACGGCGGCATGGAATTTTGGGGCACGCAGGGCTAAAAAACTATTTTATGCGAAAATATTCAAGAGAAGTCCTTAATTTACAACTAGAGTTAAAATTTATATATAACGAAATCACAGCAAGTGGATAAGGCGCCGCCAGTTTAATGTGTCTTCTGCGTTAACTTAAAAAGTTTTGAAAGTGCCTATTTATCTGAAAAACCTTGCAATCAATCTACAGGGAACTTAATCATAAAAAGACATAAATAATAAAAAAAGAAATATTCCGGCTTTGTTATATTTATTAAATTCCGGGGCAATGCAATTTAAGCTACAAAAATTTCAGAATAACGTGTCAAAAACGTTTAAAGACCAATTTACGATAACAACAAGTTTTATACAAGATCTAAATTCCAAAAAACGTAGCATTCAGTTAGGTTTATCGCTCTCGAAATCACTCATCAAAGGAAAACTGACCGCCCGGCTTCAAGCTGGGCCAAGAAAGTTTATTTTTCGCCTAGCACGAAGCAAACAAGAATCGACTCTCTTTCGGAGTCGAAAAAGATTCCGCACAGCACCGCTCCATGCTCCATGAAAAGCCGAAAAGAACGGCAAAAGAAACCCCAAAAGTGTCTTATTTTTGGATCGATGCCAGCCCCACAAAAAAACGGAGAATTCTCGTGAATCGACTCACAACACTGAATTAGTCAGTTGGGGCCGCGTGTAGTGGGCGGGCGGAAATTAATTTTCCCGGGTGGTGGAGAACGGGGGGCTTTTGCACGGAAACTTTTTCAATAGCAAAGGGATTGGGTTTCGATGTGTAAATTTGTCAAGTTGGGTGGATGGAGGGTGTCGATCAAAAACATACTTTGGTTTAGGAAAAGGATGGTAGGCGTTTTGGCAAGTGCAAAACCATGGAGACCGCGCATTTTTGGGACATTATGCCGTTTTTACCTTTAGAAGGCCTAACGCTTATTGAACTACGGTATTAAATAAGTTCTAATCGATGAGTTTTAAAAAGCAAAAAATAATAGCGAAAAAATGGGTTTTTTTCAGTACTCGATTGGAATTTGCTTTAAAAACAGCATTTTTCGACTTCTGAACTAAAAGATGATTTGGAATTTATATGCATTCAAATCACAGCAAGTGCGCGGGTAGCCCCTACTAGAAAATGCATTAGTGGGGAGGGAAGGGATTTGTCACGTAAGGAAAAGACATTCAAGGCTGCAATCTTATCAAATGAGACCGACATGGTGCGTCAAAAGTGTTTTCCACCTTTTGTACGCTCATAAAAAGGGCCTAAATCGTTTTATATGTTGACAATTACTTTTCGGCCGCAAAAGTTCTATAAAATAAGATTAGCCGAGTTGGCTCTTCGGGTCAGAATTGTCAAGGTTTTTAAAAGAAGAAATTTTACGCTAACGGGAATAAAACGCGAATAAAACGATGGAATAGTTCTTTAACTATTGTCAAATGTGACAAAGCGACGGGCGTCCGGTCACTACCCCGAAAAGTCACTACCCCGAAAGTCACTACCCCGAAAGTCACTACCCCGAAAAGTCACTACCCCGAAAGTCACTACCCCGAAAGTCACTACCCCGAAAAGTCACTACCCCGAAATCACTACCCCGAAAGTCACTGCCCCGAAAGTCACTACCCGAAAATCACTACCCCGAAGGTCACTACCCCGAAATCGTTTACCCCGAAAAATGATAGCATTGTTTTTCCCGGAAAAACCCTTTTCATGCGGTTTTCCTATGAAAATCATGCAAACTATTTCGGGGTAGTGACTCGGGTAGTGACTTTTCGGGGAATGACTTTCGGGGTAGTGACCCTCGGAGTAGTGACTTTCGGGGTAATGGACTTTCGGGGTAGTGGACTTTTCGGGGTAGTGACTTTCGGGGTAATGATTTCGGGGTAGTGACTTTCGGTATATGGGGTAGTGATTTCGGGGTAGTGACTTTCGGGGTAGTGACTTTCGGGGTAGTGACTTTTCGGGGTAGTGACTGCACCCCAAAGCGACGCATAAACGCATTACAAATCCTTGGAAAGCTTTTTAGACGATCAAAAAGTAATGAATACCAGATCTAGACGTGTTCAAAGTTCGCAAAAAGTCAGGTATAACGGTCCGCGCAAAGTGGTCAGCGCGTAGCATGTTGAAATGAATTGTACGCAAGCGCGGGCGTTGAGGTTTGCCCTTGAAGGGCCATTGAGGTGACGGGGAGGCCTGGGGATGGTTTTGGGTGGATGGTGGAGGTCGTGCTCGGCCACTATAGGCAGCGAATGGTCGAGCCGCGCGGATATTTGTTCAGCCCCTACCTCCTCGGCCCCCAGGATGCCTTCCCGACACGACAAACATCCGAGGCAAAATGGCAACACAAGGCCTCTGCCAGGCTAATCTCGCCTAGTGAATACATTGAGCAGTTGAACAAGCTGCGCGCGGAATCTGGATATAGAATTTAGGCCGGGATCTGGTTTAAAGGGAGGGGCAAGGCAGAAACATAGATTTTATTGACCATCGATTATTGGGGGATATAAAGCCAGCGCGATACGCAACGCGCGTACGGGCCGACCTTCTTTTAGCGTCGTAACCGATTGCGCATGCAAAAAAATCAGACTATTCGTTGCGTGTTGCAGTGAAAAATCCAGGCGAAAACCGTAATGAGTCAAGATTTTGTGTACCAGCGACACGCAACGCGACCACCCTTGCAACCATGTTCAATTGCGTAATTGATTACGATAGCTTAATCGCTCTACAACGTAGTGCGCGTGGCGTGTCGCGGGCGCCGCAAACAATAGAAATTGGTAAAGAAAAGTTTCAACAAAAAAAATAGTTATTCCTCAGCCGTTCTCGAAAAAAACCCAAATACCAGAACGAACAAAGGCAACCGGAAATCAACAGGCTAGATTTTAAAGTTTAAAAAACCGTAACAATCTTGGAAAGCTTAGATTGCTCTGCCACAGCCTGCAAGTTCAAAAAATCTGATTGCAATGCTTCCTTCATTTTTCATAAAGGAATAGCAAGAACATGCAAGAAAAGGACAGTAAAGGCAATTTTACAGTTTTACCGGGACATTTTTTAAGCTAAAAAGACGGTTCCCTTTGTTTCTTTGTTGTCTATGCCTTGGCCCTCTGGTCCCTCAAAAGACTAAATCTCCTCGTTGGCCGTAATATGCAGCCGTTTGGGGGGTGCAAAAAGTGATTGTATTCCGGCAGGGGTGGGTGACGGGCGGCTGTCCCCTAGGAGATCTGCGCGGCCCCCGTGAAATGTACCCCCCGGGCCTCACAATCAGAACGGCCAATAATAGCGGCTTCGTTCGTAAAGAGAACAGTTTCGATATGGAAATGGACATGGTACAACCGTTATCGGATATCTTAACATTAGTCAGATTATTAGGGTACATTAGAATCGGTGATTAAGCCGTTCCAAGCTTAAATAGAAGCCAATAGCCCAAGGTGACTGACCGGAAGACCCGGCTGAAGCCTAAACTAAAATGACTCACCTGAATAAACTAAAATATCTTGTTTTTGTTTGGTTAAGCTACGCAAAGTCGATGCCTAAGATGGCGGGCCAAAAGACGCAAAACAGCCCAATTCAAGTGTGATAAGAGCGGAAATGGGCGTGTGGATGGATCTGTGGTCAGACAACCGCATTAATTTAACTCAAGTATAGCGAGGTTTAGACTAAGATATCCACAGCCAACCTGAAACCCCAAATTGCAAGGCTTCCAATGAAAATGGAATTAGCAGACTGGCCACGAGCGAATAATAAGCGAAACAAAGTTGTTGCGGAAATTCAGTTCTCAAAACAGCGAATGGGCTGAAAAACTGTACGCTCTACAACAACAGCGAGCTGAATTTCGCAAAACTGCCGATAGATTGGCAATAACCCTCCAATCACCGGGGTGGGTTGCGCGGCTGGATTGAGCTGTGTGGGGCAGAGTAGGTCGTAGCACGCCAAAAACGCCCAAAAAAGGAAGCGTGATCTCTAGGTGTGGAGAGGGCAGAGAAACAGGGCAACGAGATAGTACTAGAAAGAGGAGAGCCAAGGGTCAGTCACCAAAAAGGCTATAGTCGGGTTGCCCTGGGGCGCAGGCTGACCCCTGGGGTATTATGCGGCTGGGTGGACTGGTTGAAGAAAGCTGTATTTTTGGTTATTTAATAGGAAAACTGGCCGATAAAATATTTTCTTCTAGAAATTTATTACGCGTCGAAAGACCAAAGCTATGAATTAGGCTTACGCATAGAAAAACAAATCCATAATTTTGCGTCTGCTTTTTCTGTCCGCTGAATTTTGGAAAAGTATCGGTTCGGAAGGTATCGTGAGGTGTATCAAAGGGACACTTCAGCAGCGCCGGTTTTCCATGAAACGTGGAAAAATTTGCATGTATTTCCGGTTAGAGAGCGCGCCCTGCTGGGAGGCACAGACATTTCGCTTGCAAATAGTGAAAACGGAGGGGCAGAAAGTGCCCCTTGAAGCATCTCAGAAAAGCTGTATAAGCATAATCCATCCATAAAAAGCTGAACAAATTGCGGCAAGTTGAGCTCCTACAAATCGGATACTATTTGGATCTACCTAAAAATATCGAGAGGTAGGACAGAAATTTCATAAAAATCGATTCTATAATGATTTTGCCAGTTCCTACGATAGGGGCTTCAGTTTCGCTAAAAAATGTTCAGATCGTATGTCCAGAAAACCAGGCCACGGGTACATTCGTGCTGACCTTGTCTCTCTGACGATTCCTGGTTCCTGCCGGAATGACGTGAATCGCCATGGCTGGGGGGATGGTGATCGAGGCCAACCGCGCTCGTAAAAAAGCCACACCCTCGCTATTTTTCTTTTCATGCGGCCAAAACTAGAGAATCTATTTTGGATGAATCGGCAAATTACGCTTTTTGGAATGTCGAAAATGCCGCGAAATATGTGATTCCCAATTTCAGAAAGCTAGCAGTAAATGAAAGGTCGAAAATGTCGCTCAAACGCGTCAAAAATCTCCGGTACAAACGTTTATTTACATGGAAATTGTGAAAACGTTTGAAACCGGAAGTTATTTTTATTATAACGATTTTCTGAAAGTTTACTCGAGTTCATACCATGCATTTTCGGAAACATGTGTGGCATAAAAAAACTGATTTATTCCTGCACAAATTCACGCATTGCCTCTTCAGTCATTTCCTTCAGCTTCTGAAGATTGGTGCTGTACATCCGGGCATGCGGTAGGTATCCCTCGAAGCATTTCTCAAATCTTGCAGCCATCACGTTCAGTTTGTCGACGATTTTCGGACCGTTCACGTATAATTTCTGTTCGGATATGGCCTTCAGGGGTTGTTCACTGGTCTTGCGCAGTTCCTTTTGGTCGTCGTCGATTTCTGAATGGATCCCTCGAATATTGCCGAACAGTCCCTCAAAATATCCGGTCAGATAGTCGGTTGTGATTTTTTGTAAATCGGTCAGTCTTTGGTCCTTTAGGTCAACATATTCATGGGTTTTATGGGCGCGTAGGCAACAAGCAGCGCAGACCGTGGTTCGATCACATTGAATACACATGAATAAGTCGGTAATCTCAAGTGTTCGCTTACAATTTTGACAGTTTTCTTTAGGAACTTCGTCTTCGCTTTCGGCAATCTTTAGGCAACCCACATTACCTTCGTCGCTGCATAATTCGTACGGTTTTGTGTCTTTTGCGGTTTGCTCATCTTGACTTTTCTCGTTAGCCGTGCAATCTTCCCCGCTTCCCTGGGTCATAGGGGATTCTTTGCCCTTCTCCATTTCGATGACTCGCTTTTTGAACCATTCTTTGTGTTCTTCCCTTGCCATCGGGCAAACAGGACACTTTTCCGGTAACAGTCCGGAATCGTCACATTTAGGACATACGATCATCCTACAGAACATAGCTCGACCCAGTGCCCGTTCAAAAGCGACTTTACAGTAGTCGCAGAAAAAATAACTTGCGCTGCATTGCGAATACAGGAGCTTTGTATCGCCCTCGTCCAATCCTAACTCGCGATTGTGCTGTCGGATGAAATCTTGGAGCTTTCTGAGAGCAAACCGCCCGTTTTTACCGGTGCCGTAGTTCCCATTTGAATAGCATTTTCCGCAAACCACTGAATAATCGCCGTAGGTCCAAAAATCCATGTTATAGTGGATCTTCCCGCAGCGCTCACATTGCAAGGGCATTATTGGCCCGATTGCCCGCCAGCCGTCGTTGGTTTTCTAAAATCGCAAACATTGTATTTAGAAATTTTTAAACACTGTTTAATTTTCTTAATATCCCTTCTTTCCTACGCGGGGGTTCAGCGCTGGCCTCCGCCCCCTCCCCCCCCCCGCATCCCACAATTTGAATTTGAAATTTGAATGCAAAATTTGCCTGAATTCCCGGTCGCACGGACGCACGGACATTAGAAATTTACCAGCGCTGACCCCCCGCTACGCGGGGGGTTCAGCGCTGGCCTCCCCCCCCAGGCATCCCACAATTTCAATTTTGCATTTGAATGAAAAATTTGGCTGAATTCCCGGTCGGCGGTCGGGCGTACGGACATTAGAAATTTAGATATAGTAGATAGATAGATAGTAGATAACTAGATCAACCGGGAAAACCAGGAAAAAATTTGGTTCTCCCGGAAATACTTCCCGGAAATCCTAAAGAACCGCTTTTTAAGATGCGCTACTCAAATGGTATCAGATAAAATTCAAATAACAATTTTCATAGCGCTGTTAAAATCTATAAAATGGTGGCAAGGTTTGGAAAAAGCACGAACCAACCGTCTTGGAGGCCCTAAAAGTCGCCCTTCCAAAGGGGTACGGTAGCTGGAAATGTTACAGATTATAGATAAACACCAGTACTACATAGCTAAGCAAAGAAAATAACTGAGTCCTCTTAGGCAATTAAAAATATTTTTCCAAAGTTCGGATTCGAGACCTCGGAAAATCCATGACCAGGGTCGTTGGAAAAACTCGAAAATTCATCGATCTCGAAACTTTTTTAAATTTTTTTATGCGACTGTGCAAAGCCCATAGGTATTCTAAAACGACTTATTTTGATGTTTTGGCCATAGGTTTTTGTAATTTACGAAATTAACGAAATTTCCCCATACAAAATTTCATTCCTCTAGAACTCGTCAACCAGACCCTCAAAAATCCTTAAATTTTGTAGGTGCATATCTACTACCTACATTAACTTAAATAGTAAAAACCAGGGTTGAAAAGCCGCGACGCCCTGGTGCCGTCTGACCCATTTTATCCTAAACCTTTGCATAATTATCCTGCATTCTGATGACAAAAATGAAAAACAACCTCTTCGGACCGTTTATATAGGCGAATCCCCACTTCCGGTATATGCTAATTTTTTCTAACAAAGAAGTTTTCACAAAAACTTTAATTTAATTTAATGTCGAAAGTAGGTGATTTTGTAAATTGATATACGTGCGGTCATCTCAAGACCATTGCGCACCTAACGACGTATCATACGTACTTTAAAATTCATCCCCTAGCGAGATATCCTCCGGACAGACAAACGGAAGTGGATGCAAAGTGGCACACACAGACACACACACAGACACTATTTCCTATCCTATAAGCGAGAAAAGTATGTTTGTTTTCTGTAATGAAGATTTCTAGGTCGTCTGGCCGAATTTCGGCTCATTTTTGGCATGGACGTGGAGAAACACATTTGTCAGTGATGCATTTTTTTTGTTTTGCGAAATTTCTTCATTTAACGGTTTTACAACAAAAACAGTGAAATCTTCTGCTGCGTAATGGGTTTCTGGGTAATGAATTTTCGGTATAACGAGTTTCTGCATAATGGATTTTCTGCGTAATGTTTTTCTGCGTAATGGGTTTCTGTGTATTGAAATTTTGGGATATAAAGTGTTTTCACATTGTTTTTAGTAAATTTTAACTATATTTAAAGTAGAAAAACCTTTAAAAAAGCTAGAAAAATGTTTGAAAAAGTCGAAAATTTAGTCATTTTGGGTCTTCCAAATTTGGCTCTAAAGTTGCAAACCTCAAAAAATTATCCCGGAAACTACCGGGCCGAATAGGCGCAAATTTTGTGACTAGGCCTAATTTGGGATGGGGATCATTTTTCTGTTACATTGCGACGCAAGAAAATGGCCGGAACATAGGTATATTGCGTACTAAAAACAGTTTTTTGCAGTTTTCGACGTGATGGGTGTTCGGCCACATCACGTGAGCATAGAAAGATGCGCAATTTTTTCTGCATCGATGGATGTGTCTTTTATCGAGCGGCCATTTGCATTTGCTGGAATATTCCATTTACTACGCTCAAAACGCACCAAAAATGTACCCGAAAAATGCATAACAAAAAGTTTTGTGAATTTTGAAGCATGAAAACACATCTATAAGACGAGCTGAAGCTATTGCAAAAAAGAGCAAAAAGAAATACCAATCTTAAAAGGGGTCTGAAATCCGGCAGGAATCGAACCCGGGTCGTGTGCCTGGGAGCCCTGTGGCGCAGTCAGTAGAGCGTCGGCGTGCCAATCCAGAGCTGCCGCCAGTTCAATCCCAGCCCCCTCCAAAAAGCTGAATTTCTCAAATCTTTAATCGTATCCATAAAATCCAAGTGGTTTTTTATTTTTAAAAATTCGAAAATTGACCCCGGCTACTCGGACCGAAAATCGGCTCTCTGTGTCGAAAGTTCTGTCCTAACAAGGAGTGCCTTTTGGGTGTCATCGGCAAAACCTTACGAGACCTAGCTCATTCGATAGAGAATTCGATTCTGAACAAAACCCCGTTGTTCTTTTTTGCAGAATGGCTATCCCTGATTTTATAAAATTTTAAAACTGCACCTCTTTTGGCTTGGCTACTCTCTTTGGCTCGAAACTCGTTTAAACTCTCTTTTGGCTCGAAAGGCACTCATGGTAAGAGACGGTCACTAGTATTTTAATTTTATAAAATCAGGGATAGCCATTCTGCAAAAAAGAACAACGGGGTTTTGTTCAGAATCGAATTCTCTATCGAATGAGCTGGGTCTCGAAGGAATTTGCCGATCACACCCAAAAGGCACTCCTTGTAAGTACAGGACTTACGAGATTTATTCGCATTGGGCGCCTTGGGGGTGGCTTGCTATCTCGTGCCCCTCGCCCCGCCGGCTACGGTAGGCAGAGAGGGCCCCCAAAAGCGCGCCGAATTATTGCCGATTAACCGTCAACCTCTTCCCGAAAGGGCGTCGTTGCCGCCAGTCGCTGCGCGACTGGTTTGGTAGATTTGGTAGAACTTTCGGCTTCTGCCGTGTCCGAGGCCCGATTGGTGAGGCAGAAATACTCTTACAACCAGCCCTTCACTTCCTATTGAGACTTAACCGTTTCTGTCTTACAACCAGTGCTTCTACTCGGATCTTGTGTATCTCTTCTCAGTGTTGCCTTTTCTGTCCTAATAAACCTTTTGTCTATAACAAGTGTTCTCTTATTGGTAATCGCATTGGATCTCATTCATGGTCTGTTGGTGGACATTCGTCTTGGCGTATATTATACAGACCCCCGCTGAAACCGATGATCCCCCGTGTATGGGAGTAAGCTGGTCATCGTTAAGGGGATAGGTGGCAAGTCCCTCGCGTGGGCATTATTGGGATTTATTCCTAATAGTGCCGGATTGCTATTCCTTTTCGACACTCTGGCCTTGTTTTGCACTTTGCCTCGTAATTTTGTTATTTACCACCCAAAATCAGTAATTTTTAGCAGGTTGTCTTACAATCACCTCTAGAAGGCTCTCGAATAGAAAAATCGTCACTTAATGGAATTTTGTGATGGAATGCTAAAGCGCGCTCCATGTGGGTTACGGTAGAAAACCGAAATTTGCGATTTTCGCTGTGTTTCTTCCATGGAATCGCTTCGATCTTTTCGTAAAACCAATAGTAGCAGTTTTTGGACCAGTTGACCAAAAAATTTACAAAATTCTGCCGCAGAATTAAAAAAAATCTGTTTTTACTCTTTTTCATGAAAGTTTGTGGATAGTACGCTCCCGTATTTGGCAGTGAGGTGCCCCTACTTATTGTCTAACAACCAAGAAAATTTCAGCCGGATCGAAGCTAGGGGTCCCGAGAAAAGCGGGAAAAACGAAACCTACAGTACCCAGGGCCGTAACAAACCCAAATTTCGGGGGGGGGGCGACCCCAAAAATTTTTCACTAATATGACTAAAACTACAGCGCCGCAGGCAAAATTTTTAAAAATATCGGGTTTATAACACTAAAACTAGTGTTAAAAATAGCCAAAAACAGCGCCGCAGGCAAAAAAATTTTTCGAAAAATTAAATCATAAGGGTCCCCCCTTATGAACTTTTCGGCCTTCGGCCGATTTCGGGGGGGGCGGCTCGCCCCCCTCGCCCCCCCCCTCTTACGGGCCTGACAGTACCCCACTGGGGCGGGAAACAGCCAAAATGACGACATTCAAAATGACGACAGCCAAAATGCCGACAGCCAAAATGACGACAGCCAGAATGCCGACAGCCAGAATGCCGACAGCCAAAATAGCGACAGCCAAAATGACGACAGCCAAAATGGCGAAATTCAAAATGACGACCTGCAAAAATTTGATTTTTCTCAGCTATTATGGCTGATTTTGCATGTCGTCATTTTGAATGTTGTCATTTTGAATGTCGCCATTTTGGCTGTCGCTATTTTGGCTGTCGTCATTCTGGCTGTCGCTATTCTGGCTGTCGTCATTCTGGCTGTCGGCATTCTGGCTGTCGTCATTTTGGCTGTCGGCATTTTGGCTGTCGTCATTCTGGCTGTCGGCATTTTGGCTGTCGGCATTTTGAATGTCGTCATTTTGGCCGGAAATCCACTGGGGCACCTTTTAGCAAGCAATACAAAAATACCATGGATTGTGGTGAAATCTGGTGTGGAATCCGAGATTGATATTTGGATAGGTCATTGACATAATATCAGCCATGAGTAAGTAGTCTGTTATAAGCGAGTTATGACTCAAAGAACAAAATAACGCAAATTCGCGAAAATTATTTTGCTGTAAAAAATGAAATAGACCTCGAAAAATTCTAAAACTTTACTATTACCTTTCTACGAATTTATACTATTTTCGGGCCAAAAATGAGAATTTTCCCACCAACCTATCAAGAACGCACAATTTTCGGTCGTAACCAGCGTCAATAGTACAGTTTCGTACTCAAAAATCGAAAAAATCCATTTGTGTTAAATCTTCATACCCAGCATATTTAAGCATTCTGGCATGGTAACGTACCTTCGATTCTCTACCGTTCGCGAGATATTTTGACCCAAACTGTGGTCTTTTTTTGCACACCCTGTATTAGGGTTGGGTTTTGGCGCAACCGGTTTCCGATCGATCGCATTGCATATCCTAAACGATTAAATCGTTGGACGAAAACCGGTTTCCTGTTTCAAACCGATTTAAATCGGTTCACGAGGCAAAACCGGTTTTTGCCAGGCTCGGAAATCGGTTCAAGGTAAAAAAAAACCGGTTTTTCACGATTCGGTCCCGGAAGTGAAAGCGATCTTTATGCAAATCCCCAGCACAATTATTATTCAAATTGCGGTAATGCAAAGCCTCAAATTTCATAAATTTTTGGAAATCGAGTTGTCTTAGCTTGTTAGCAATGTATGGTCTCAGAGACAAACGATTAGAACGTCATATTAAACGCTGGGGCGAGCCTGGAGTGCTTCAAAATGTTCGAGTACAATCTAAGGATATCAGCAATAGTCGGATCCGCGCGTGAAAGTGGGAAAATACCTTGCCTATCTAGAACTGTGACCGAAAAGACAATCGTAAATGACTGGTAAAGCCCGAACAATCAAGTAGCAATCACGCTGTCTGAGTTGATTAGAATGATTATTATTTGCATAAAGACCGGTTTCACTTCCGGGACCGAATCGTGAAAAACCGGTTTTTTACCCCGAACCGATTTCCGAGCCTGGCAAAAACCGGTTTTGTCTCGTGAACCGATTTAAATCGGTTCGATGCCGCAAAACGGTTTTCGTCCAACGATTTAATCGTTTAGGATATGCAAAGCGATCGATCGGAAACCGGTTGCGCCAAAACCCAACCCTACCCTGTATATTAATTTTCTTAATATCCCTTCCTTCCTATATTAATTTTCTTAATATCCCCATCATTAATATTCCCAATTAACCCATGATGTTCCTAAGGGGTGCATCCAGGGGCGTACGAGGGGGGGGGGGCAACAGGGGCAAGTTGCCCCCCAAATCGGCCGAAGGCCGAAAAGTTCATAAGGGGGGACCCTTATGATTTTTTCAATAAAAATTTTTCTGCCTGCGGCGCTGTTTATTACTGTTTTTAAGACGGCCTTTATTTCTATGAAGCCTATTTTTCCAAAATTTTTTTTTGCCTGCGGCGCTGTTTTTCATTGGTGTATCAACTGTCCATAGAAAATTTTTTTTGGGGGGGGGAGGAGGTCGCCAAAAAATTTTCGAGTTGCCCCCCCCCCCAAAAATCGGGTTCGTGTACGCCCCTGGGTGCATCATTTGAAAAGGAAGAGTGTTATCTGAAACATAAGTGCTTCCGGTGGTGCTGCGGGGGTAGCTGAGCGAACAGATAGAAGGGTTCTTTCAAGTAGTACAATTTTAAGTATTTAGTTTCTGTTTGAATTTGTAAGAAGTTGTAATTTGTAAGAAGAACGAAAATAATATCTTGAGAATGAGAAATCTTGAATCTTGAGAAATTATCTTGATCTAGAAAGAATATTTTATTTTCGTGCGTTTAAAACCCGTAAATTTTAAAACCGCGTCGCGGCTTTACAACCTTGGCACCGTCTCGTCCCGATGGTAGTCTGCACTTTGCTTCACTCTCCCATTCCCAAAACCGAAAAGAAATATGAAAAGCATCCCCTTCGTCGCTTTATATAGGCCCTCGCCACTTCCGACGCATGCAAATTGCCTCCTAACAAAGAGGTTTTTCGACATCGTAATCTTAATAGCGAACATAGTAATTTTTCAATACTTTTATGTGTGTGCACTGATCTGGGGCCATTAGGCACCTCATGACGTATCAAACATAATATTATATAATTTTGGCGCGTATCTTTGTGTGTGTGTGTGTGGATGTCAGTTTCGAGGCCCGATTTGAGGGCCTTCCCGTGTTCAAAACGGCCCAATTCTCCGGCGCCCGGGGGAATCGACCTTCCTCTTTCCTATGGCGTTCTCAGAATTTCGATAAAATACAAGTTTACAAAGTTAAAGCCGGTTTTATTGATTTTTTGGGTAATTTGCATAATGTGAAAAAAATACAAATTTCCTCATTCTTGCGAGTTGCACGCGCGCGTGTGGTGGGGGAGGTCCGAAGGACCCGAGCTACCGGAAAGTCAAATTTCTCATGCAAACGCACCATTCCAGCGCCCAAGGCCCGCGAAGCGGGTTTTGGGCGCTGGTCAAACATAATTTAAAAACATTTCTCTTAGGCTCTAGGTGCGGTACATATTAGGTTGGACCGAAAGTAATTGTAATCGACTTTCCGGTCAATATTTCTAGTAACCCCACCAAGCAACTGACTGATTTTTAATTTTCTCTGTTTGGTCTAGCAAGGTACTATATCCCCTAAAAATATCGTACGAATCCTAGCTCTACAACTTTTTTTATAATTTATTTAGTCCGGCTCGCCGGTCTACTCGAGGCGGCGACGTCCGGGATCCCTCTTTCTTTCCAGCCTTATAACAACTGTTATTGTCGGAATCCCCCAAGCGTAATTTTTATTTTATAATGCCAGTTTAATATCTTTCTGACTAGTGTGTCCAATTCAGCTAACGGATTTACAGTCGGCCGATATTCTCATTTGTTTGGATAAAAATCCGGCTTTTCGGTGAGCTTGACTAAAAGGCTCTCTTAAATTTATTGAAGATAGCGCAATTAAGTCTGATTTATTTATCATAAGCAGTTTTTATTGACAAACATAATACCAGTCGCAGATAACTTTCCACCCTTCCTTATCTGAACAAATTTTGCAAATTAGTGAGGCACCAAGTGACCGACCCGGAGATCGGCTGGCGACACACAATTTGCATTGCTACTCTTTCACCATTGCCAATCAAAATGTTTTTATAATGCAGTATTATTGGTCACCGGCAGTAGGTACTGTTTTAAAATTACCAATACTCTAAACCCATTCTTTCGCGGAGAAAAAAATAAAACCAAAATGGGCTCCAAATTACGATTCATTTCTCAATTCCAGATGGAGACAGAACATTTGCTCTTCGGTGATTTACGGGCATCAAACAGCTTTAATCAAGCATCATTTTCATAGAGTCCACTCAAAAAAATTATCCACTAAACTCGGAGAGAACGGTCGATAAAGGAATGTGTCGTTTCGTAGCCCGAAAACCCAGATTGACCGCTTTTTAAATTGACCTGGGAAAAAATAATGCAGCTAGCTATTAAAATTTTCTTTAATGCACTGCTTAGCCCAAACTTTTCTCTATCTACTATCACTTATTCAGGTCACTAGGGTCGGAACGGCCGGCGATATCATTCACGGAAAACAAAAACCCGAAATCCGGATTGAGCGCACCTTTTTCCAGCTAATTAAAAAGTTTGTGGCAGTCCTGGGTTAAAACTAGAGATGTTAAGAATCAATTAACAATCAAGATTATTTGCATACATTGGCACAATATTATTTTATTTGGATGGGGCTGAGCGCATGCCCAAGTAAAATAATATTATTTGACCCCGCTCGAGAAAGAGCCAAGTAAGATTACTTGATTTACTTGATTTACTTGATCAAACAATAGCTTTCGGGAATTCTGGCATTTTTCGGATGATAATGAACCTTATGACATGATCGAATGCTAATTTACTGGGTTCGCGGCAAGATTGCCTGATTTGCATTGCGAATTTGCACAAATCAAGTAATCTCGCTGAAAATCAAGTAATTCCCCCAAATCAACCAAGATCAAGTAAATCAAGTAATTTTATTTTACTTGATGCTTATTTAAGCAAACGAAGTAAAATAATTTTATAGTTACTTGAAGATTCCAGATGCAAATAAAGTTGTTCAAGTAAATTTACTTGGTCATTATATTACTTGATTCGTAACATCTCTAGTTAAAACTAACACTGAAACTGGACAAGGCTTGACCCTCCATCATAGCAAAAAATTAGAATGAAGGAATGGTGGCTTCCATAAAATTTTTAGAATCGAAAAATTACAATTACTTTCGGTCCAACCTAATACTGACGAAAGTCGCATGCAAACATACACACAGAAAATATTTTTTATGTATAGTAGGATAACCTTACCCTAAGCCTCCTCGTCGTCAACATCCTGACAACCAGTAGCGCTTCAGTGCCATCGCACGGACAGCATTCCTTGCAACACCAAGTTCCATTGTAGCACATCGGCCCTCTTGGTGAATCCTTCTTCGGATCGAAAGGCAAACCGCATACTGTGCAATCAAGTGCCGTGATTCGCAGCATTGATGCTCTGTAAGCGGAAATAAACTTGAATAATGATAGTGAAACAATGCAACCGATCTTGAACTACTGGAACACCGGAATCGCTCCGAATTTTGTAGGAGACGACTGAGTTAAGGGCAGCTTTCTGTCGCATGTTCCCATTTAAAATTCAATATTTCCGAAGATTCAAATTTATTTAGAGCATAAATATTACCTCAGCCTTTACAGGCAAGTTCCAGCAAGACTTCAGAAAAAAACTAGGAATGGCATTGGGCACTAGTTATCGGACGGAAGCGGGCTGCAAAGACCTCCCTCTGATCCGGCTGATAAGGCGACCACGTATTGTCGTTAACCTTTCGAGCACAGAATAAATAGATGCCGTCTGCCCAAGCTAGGGGCATTTTGAAAAGGCTTTTAAATGTTCACAGCCCTCCGAATTTTGAACCCCTGTCGAAAAGTGGCGTGTTTTCCAACAAAAGTTTATCGTTACAAAAAGCATACAAAATCGAAAACAAGTAGTGCAAATGAGGTTCGGGTCGAGTTGCAAATTCTCGGCGGTTATTCACTGATCGTCTCATGACATCACGACAGTTGCATCTGGCTTTTGAACCGACTTCTAGAGGTTAAAAAAGCTCAGGATATTAACACTTACTTTGCAGATTGTGGAGGCGCTTTGCTGCTGTCTAGCCAAAATGTTAGGCATTCGCCTTTGCCCTGAAAATGGTTTAGAATAAAAACTCTATCAAAATTTACCTTTACTTCAATTTTACCCCTTTCGGACATGTTAAATTGGGGGAAGAAGCAGTGGAGAAGGTTGTAGGCCTGCTCAGAGATCTGCAAAAAAGCAATAATGAAAAATATGCGGATTTGAAGACCTGAATTTTGTTTGCCACGCCTGTACTTTCCATCCTGGAGGCTGTATTGACGGTGTCACCGAAGAGACAGTATCTAAAAAGGTAATTTTTTGAAGGTTATCCTCGAAGAACTAGTCAGTAGCCAAAAAGCCGCATTACTAGTTCGAAAACAGTCTTAAATTGCAACAATTCATCATGATTAGGCAGAAATTCGCTTGAAGCTACAGAATTGTACTTTGACTGGACACTAAAGAAACGAGTCTTCACGTTCTTGAAACTGGCATAGAACAACGTGAACTGCTATGGAAACAACGTGAAAAGCGGCATCTAACATTTTTACTGGAAAAATGACAGGTATTTAAAACGACAATTTTAAAAGGTTAACCTTATATTTATGCATAAGACACATATTTATACCTATAGATTTAAGCCCATGGCTCTTTCTAAACTAAAGTCTCTTCTTTTTCTATGAAAATCACCTCGGTGCCGCCAGTCCGACGACTCCGGCTGCTACAGACCCCGAGTGGAATCCAATCCTCACCATCATCAGTTCCTCGGGCCGATGCGCCAATTTAAAGTTGGAGACGAACTACAAAATTCCGAAGTATAATACATCGGGCCACTTTTCCCTTACAGTCCTCATCTTCAACGCGACGTCAGCAATATTCTGGACGTGGTAGTTTCCATTTTCTTTTGGGACCCCGGAGACGATCATGTAGGCGTCACCAATCGTTTCGACCTGGAATTTTAGGAATAAATTGGCAAGCCTCATTGAGTTACTTTGTAAGCATCATGCTTGGCGATGATGGAGTCGAACCCGGAGAACATGTCGTTGAGGAAGGTGACGACCTAAAAATGGATTGGAAAGTCGATTTCCTCGATGGATAATGCAAGCTTGCTTCCAATTTCTAAACTCGAAGCCTCAAGGTTTAACTATGAACTGATTTATTTTTTTCAATGGCGTGTACAAATGCCGGTGAAAAATGGGGGTACCTGCAAAGGTGTTGAGGTCGATGATATTCTTGTAAATCCGCGAATGTCGGAAAACAGGACAGTAGCGCATGGATAGAGCTGAGGAAGAACTGGTTTCCCAACCTTGAGATCTTCCGCAACAGATCTAAAACAAAGAATTGATCTTATTTTACCAATAATGACTTTATGGCTGCATCACATCATCCTTTGGACCGCTTGTTCATCGCCGCCTCGGCTTACAGAAGAACTGATTTGCACAAACCTATGGAAGTTGTGCCAATCATTCCTTCTGTAGGCCGTGGTGGGAGTGGTTAGGGGCATGGGAGCGAGAGATAAAAGAGCAGGAGAGAGCGAGAGAGAGCAAGAGAGATAGAGAGCGAAAGGGCGAGAGATGGAGAGAGAGAGAGAGATAGAGCGAGATAGTGAGGGAGCGATAGCGAGGAGTGTGAGCTCGAGCGCGCCGGGTATACCTTGGTAGCATGTTATTCAGTAATCGATCCGCCTGCTTCTGTGCTTCTTCTAACATAGCGGTCCTATCTCGGACCAACGATTCGAGATTCGTCGTGTACTCCTCCATCATCTTCATCATTTGATCAACGAGTGAGCCTTTGCCCCTAAAAAGCTTATCTTGTTGATATCTAACATTTTCTATCTCTGCGTCTCTCTCTCGTTTTTGCTATAACTTACGTGCTCTTCAAATTCGAATTCGTCAGCGAGCGAACTTTCTTTATGTTCGGCCTCATTTCTGGTATCTCCAGCCAGCATGCCTCGATGCAAGAGAGTAGTTGGAGGTTGTAGGACTCCGTGTCTTTACCTAAACATGATCCCCGGGTTATTGTAATGAAGTGGACTATGGGTGAAAATTAAAATCTGCTGACTCACCGACTGTCGATGGAAAGCTGGGCCTGATCAGCTGGTCGTCATCGTTTGACATGGCGATGAGGTCCATAAGCTCTAAAATTTATCATAGTCAAAGATAGCGAGAGAGAGAAAGAGGGAGAGAGAGAGAGAGAGAGAGAGAGCGAGAGAGAGGGAGAAACTTACTCGCTATTGATTTCCCTCTCTCATGGAACGGCTCGACTCTGTAGAGAATCTGGTAGAGCACCATTCCACAAGCATAGATATCCTGAGGCTGGCCGCCAGGCGGCAAAGCTTTCCGGGTAACGATTTCTCGAATCACTTCCGGAGCTTGTTGGATGTATTCTAAAAAAGATTTAGCAAGTTATATGTATCGCCAACGGATCAAAAATCCCTTAAAATAGTCAATTTTGGGCTACTTGAGTGCGGCTAAACCAGTATATTAAAAAGATTCGTAAGAGCGATTAAGTCACGTGATTTCCTAAAGAATCTCCTCTAGCATGCCTTCCAAAAGAATTTTCCCTTCCTTAACACTGACTCCTATCAATCAACCGCTCGCTCTCGTCCTCCAACTCCGAAGTCACGGCCCGGATCTCATTATGGTACATCTTGTCGGAGATGATCTCCTCGGTTCGGAAATTTGTGAGCTTGACCGTCCAATTCGAGTCGACCAGGCAATTCTGGAGGCAGAGAAGGCCGTGGTACATGATTGGGGAGGCATGTATAAAGGCCAGGGCCTAAAATACAGAATTTTTGATGTTAGAAGGTATAGGCGTACCTTGACAACATCCTTGGCAAACGATACTTGGAAATTGCGGCCGAGTTTGAGCTCGTCGTTGAAAAGGATGTCCTGGAAATTGAGTTTTGGCTTTTACCATTTCTTTCTAAAAAAATAGAAGGTTCGTCAGGTTGAAAAACAGTGGGTTTTGCTAGACAAAAACCTTTGATATGTTTCCCAAACAATAAAAGCTATTTTTAGGGTTGCAAAGGATCTGTTTAATGGAAAAATACCTCCAAGCTCCCCCTCGAGCACAGAATCCACATGACGACAAATTCATTCTGCTGGTTGAAGGCGATCCCGTAGAATTTATTCAGGTTCTCGTTTTCGATGAGTTTCAGCTAGAAAACAGTATGTTAAAACCTTGATCGAGAATTAATTAGGCCATGAGAATCGCATGCTCCTTCGCGGAACAACGCCAAAAACAACTTGTAGGTAAAAAAATAGTTTAAAAACCTCCATCCAAGCCGTGCTCGGAAAAGTATTTCTGAAAATCTAAAACTTACAAACCTAATTTACTTATACCCAAAAGTCTCTCGAGAAATTGCACAGAAGGAACGGGTCCAAGATGCTATACTTGGGGAAATAATGAGCATCAGGGGGAGGGTGAGCTTTAGATCCCAGCGTGTCATCTCATCCCAATTAGGACTAGGGGAGAAATTTGAGTTGAGGGAAGGTCTAGTGATGCCCCTTCTCATCCGTCCGTCCCGTCTAACTTTGGGTACACGGATCCGAGAAGGCACCAAAAGCCGCCGCCGGCTAGGCAAATCCGGATTCTAATCTTGGGGTGGGGATTTTTGTGGTCTTCTGAGGGTATTTACATTTTCTGCTTTTCTCCGACTAAAGAAGCCTTTGAAAATGATGGACTTTGAGGTTGGAATGGAAAGACAAGCCAACTACAATTTAATCTTGCATATTTATTCGAATATTTATTTGGCACCGGAATAAGGGAAACTAAATGATCACCGCTAGATTGTTAATTTATTATGCCTGTGAAACGATATAGATTTTGAGTTTACCTCTTTCAAAGTTCGCAAATCCTCCTTCTGGAATGTGATATTCCGCATCTGGGTGAACCGCTTTATAGCTAGTCTAAAAACATTATACAAAATATGCTCTGGCTAATAAGCCACCAAATTACCGAACACCATTCGATATGGCCTGCTTCGCGCCGACCATGCCATTTTGCTTGAGGTCAAGCTCCCGGAAAAGGAGCCAGAGGATTGCGACTTGCTGGCCAGGGAATGCTCGGATTTCTAAAGAGAATAAAAAGCCATACATGTTTTTCAAAACACAAGCTATTAAAAATTGCAAAAAAAAACAAGGAACTACGCAAAATCTGAAACACACCATTTTCGAGGCATCCACCAATCGTACGCTATCTCTTGGAATTCGCCAAGTCATATCGTAAGCAACCTCTCTTTTCTAAATTACCGTGATTCTCAATTAACGTTAGTAGTAAACGTTCGTCGTCCGGTAGACTTACTGTTTCGTATACAAAAAGTAGGATAACGGAAATATGGTCAAAATGAACAAGGTCACGCCCATCAAGACAAAGTAGGTGGTGTAGTCACAATCGGCTCCTAATTTGGGTAAGAATATAGAATTTTCGAAAATGTCATACCTGTAAAACCACAGGACGGTACTGGATTGAGGTAGTTGGCCATTATGGCTGTTCCAATAGAACTGTACCACCTCGTGGGCTACCTGCAAGAGACAACTCGGGCTGTAACAACCGTAAAAAATTCCTAAATGACTACCAGGTTCTGTTCTATTTCGCGTGGGGGAAAAAACTGTGCGGGGGGGGGGAAATATGCTTCGCGGAACCTTCCACTTTCGCTATTTTCGGGATTTTGCAACGCCATTCGATAGAGCATCAAAAAATATACTAAGAGTTTTTGTTTTAGCTATAAATATTGTAATATAAAAAAGTTATAGCAAAAACAAAAAAAACTATTGAAACTCGTCCCGGAATGTTAGTTTTCGGCATTTTCGCCAGTTTTTCGATATTTTGAACCCGTCATTCGATAGAGCATCAAAAACTATACTCAGAGTTTTAATTTCATCTAAAAATATAGTTTTATAAAATAGTTATAGCAAAAACAAGGTTTATTCGGTGTTTCCACATGGGATCGTGGAGTCGAAAGCTAGTTTTCGACATTTTCGATAACTTTCAAAAATTTCTTTCATGACATTCGATAGAGCGTGAAAAAATATACTAAGAGTTTTAATTACAATTCAAAAAAGCATCATATAAAAGAGTTATAAAAAGAACAGAACCGACTACCACTAGGTTTCTCTCTCTATTTCTCTCCTGCTCTCTCTCTCTCCCGCCCTCTCTATCTGATCTAGATTTATCTCTCTCCCTCTCCGGTAAACTTACATGTTCCGAGCACAATTCCAAGTTCGAATTGCACTTGTCGCGCTCGCCGAGCTTGGCCTCGAGCTCGACGACGATCCGTAAGCTACCATTCGAGGTATGATATGTAGCATATGAAGGGACACGAATTGCTTTGTTGTTCATCAACACCAGCCCTGTTACGCCTAAAATTTGATGTAGACGGAGTTGCGCTATGCTGTCAAAGCAGTACCCCGCCGATACCAAAACAAGATTAGCTAAGATCGTACAAAACTTGAAAAAATACTAAGTAGCACCTTTTTCATAAATACTAACAAGTTCCGGATGGTACCTTAAAGCCCCAGTTAGGGTATAACTCACCCATAAATTGTCGATTCGTCATCTTCTCCCATATGTACGACCCATTGAAGTGTACATCATAATCCCCGGTATCTTCGAACGCATCCCTCAACGCCAGGCCGTACAGGAAGAGAGCATCGTATAACGTCATATAGGCCAGGGTGGCATACTAAAACAAACTGTTCTAAAATAAGAGACCAAGTATTACGTGTGTAGCCAGCATCCCAGTCGTCTTAATAAATTTCTCTTGAAAATCGTCGAAGAATTTCGCGTCGTAGCCGTGGGCGGTGATGATCATCGTGTTCTCATAAGCAGCCTTTACTTCTTGTTTGTCTACGGTGGTTGCTTCCCAGGGGTGATGATCGTTGATCTAAAATGGAGCTAAAGCCTCGCTTTTGGTATCAATAAACATTTCTGGTGTCATTCAAGAGACCGGGAAGGCATTTCGATAAATTTTTCTAGCTTAGATTTTAGATTAAATTGCTCTTGGCCGTTTTGAAGTGACCTTAATTCTAACCATTAGATCATGGACAGACGGCGCTGCTGTTAGGAAGGAAAGCTGCCAGGATTAGAAAAAAGCAGAAAGCCGAGCCAGGTCGCGGCCTACTTTGCACAGGTTTCACACCAGTATCTATCGAGAGCTAGCCGAGAAAGAGGTAGACTTTGGCGCTTGCCAGGGCCATTTGTCAGTGCCTTAAATTCATTTTCCAGTCGGCCAAAATCGATATCAGTCGGCAATGGGTGCGCTGAAGGAATGTAGCAGCTGTAAAGCCATCGTCGACGACGAGGTCGAGTTGAACGTTTCAAGAACCTTATAACTTTTAGGTTTCAACTGTGTATTTAAACTGCATCGAATCGTTTCCTATTTGGCATATATGCCGAATAGACGATTGGTCACGTTTAGGCCGCTGTAAAAAAAGGAACCAAAACGGGTGGTTCCCCTGGGCTATGTATTTTAACCCAAGAGCTCAAATCCTTTTTTCGCCTCATCCCCACATTTTTCCTATCTTCCTAGCGAATCCCCGTTTCCGGTTACGCAAGCACTTGGCCGACAACGGGATGGCTCAACCGAATCAGGGAGGGAATTACGACTACGGTAATCCGTATTTGTGCCCCGCCGGGGCAGTCAGCGCGGCCATTTCCGGAGAATTTGGGTAGCTACTGATAATAATAATAAAACTAGAAAAAGGCGTCGATTTTTCACCATGGTAACGGGTAACCAAAAGAGGGCAGGCTAGCAGAGACCCTTGGGGAAAGAAAACTTAATGGATGAACTCATTTAGGAAGTGGTGGATCCCTAGTAGATTCCAGGCAAGCTAGCATAGCCACTTGGAACAAGGAAGCTTTTTGTAAGGTCGGCAGGCTAGCAGAAATCCTTTGAGAAATAGTTCATACTCGAGAGACTCGAGGCAGGCTAGCAGGGACCATTTTGGAAATGGCTCATATCCAATCCGTTTATGGCCAGCTAGCAGAGACAATCTGGGAACCCCTTACATGAGACAACCAAGGCAGAATGTAGACGTATTCCTCTGTCTTCATCTCGGCTCGATAGACGGCCTGCATAAAGTTGGTGTTCGCGTGGAGGTCCATGCCCAGCTCGACGAGGATTACTGAAAATGAGCATAATAGCTGAAAGGGCCAACTAGTAATGATCATTTGAGAATCGTTGGGGCAAAAACTTGCTCCGAGCATTTGCCTTCAATTGCTTCAATTTTCCGGAAGCTAAAATCTCGTCGGCTGAAGCGTAGGGATCGATTTCGACGAGGATGTTGACTTGGAGCTAAAAAAGGGGTATATTTTCGACATTTAAATGTAAATGAAGACCAGAATAAAATTATATTTTTGTATTTTAAAGAATTTACCTGCGCATCCTTCTTCTTGATCAAATTATTCAAAGAGTGTAGACTCAAGCGATCGTAGCCATTGGTAGGTCGAACCAAACCAACCTAAGGGAGCAGGTTTTACGTATTGCGGAAGTTTCAATGGCTTATACAGATTAAGCAATACTTAGCACGCAATTACAGTAGTG